AGTGCTCGTGGATTGTAGTGAATGGCGGGACCTATCATGATTCCCAAGCACGAAGCGATGCGGCCTTAGCGAGCAATGACAGCGCAGGCGCCCCCAGCAACCTGCGTAGCAGCAACCATGCACGAAGCAATCCTTAGGCTCACTGTGTTCGCCGACCCCTGGCCGGCAACCAGCAGATGTATTGAGAGGCAGGAAGCAGGCAGGAGTAGTCTTCAAGGCAGGAAGCAGACGTGGGCATTGGAAGGTGCTTGAAAAAGAATGCGACTTGCTGGGAGGAGTGGGTGGGAGGTGGGAGGGGGTGAGAAAACAGGGCCCCTCAAGGGAACCCATTATATGCCTAGATATGCCTAGCATTTTCTTCAAGCGGATGGAAGGGCGGTGGCGAGGTGGGAGGATTGGGAGGGGTTGGGAGGGTGGAAAGAGGGAAAAGGGAAGGAGGGATGGGAGCGAGGGGTGGGGAGGCCTATAAAGTGCAAGTGGTTTTCTGCTGATCCGGAGATCAATGCATAATTGACTTCTCCAACTTGCTTTCCTCTGAGGTAGCTGCCGCGCTGGGCAGGGCGACATGAGGCTCTCCCTCGCTGCTGATGACTGCGATCCATCCTGCAGATTAAACACGATCCAACTGGCAATTCTTTGAGGAATCTGGTCAGGCAATGAGCTGAGTAGAGTTGGGTCTATGATCTCTGAGTGGTCTCTGATCGCCAAGAAACCAACGCCACTCAGCCGCCTCTAAGACGGCCAACGCAGCCTTAGCAACCTGACTTCCTGAACCTTCGCACGCACCCCTCTCTACACGGCCTTAACCCTAAACCCTAAACCCTCTGTCCCAGGTTTGGCCTTGAAGCGCCACCCGACATCCAGGTCTCCAAAGAAGTGTCCAAAGATGGAAGCGCCTTTGCGCAGGGCCACCTGGAGTTGTCGAAGCAATTCTCTAAGAGACTTGTCCTCATATGACTCATATCCATGATGAGAAGAAAGGAATGCTCCCTGTGATTTTTAGTTCGCCTCTCCACTCGAGCTGGTGAGTCTGGTGCTGGCTTCACCGCAACAGGCTCGCATCCTGCAAAGACTTGCACGAGACCAGACCGTGACATGGAGATGATCTTTTCCTGGGCAAAAGGACCCACAAGAATGTTGAGAACCTTCTCAAGCTCACCTGCAAGCCCCAACCACACAAACTACAGCATGAATGGGGCTCATGCCGTCAGCTGACAGTTGACATGTTGCGTTCAGTGTGTTCGAGTGCATTGCGGGCCTCTGGCGGCTCTCCTCACTCCTGTCTGTTCTTCCGCGCTTTGCAGCCCGTGCCTTCTATCGGAGCCATGGCCCCAGCTACCAGCTGCATCTCAACACGGAATGGTTTGCACAACGTGCGAACAGGAGAACCCACCTTAGGGTTTAGAGTTTAGGGTTCTAAAAACAATTGCCCCCATCATCATGTCCCATGTCTTGGGCCAAGCGGCTGCTTGCGCACACTTCAGGGGAGCCCACAGGCTTAGGAGGCCGTGTGCGGGATTTTGCTGGTAGCCTGAGATTCCATACTCGTAAGAATCTGCGTGTGAATAAGAGAGACTTGATCAATTGGCGTTCAGCAGAATCAACGTCCCCGTGCTTTGTTTGAGTGCGATTGATGTGTTCTTCACGAAGGGCTTGGCTCACTCCGACCCCACGAAGGTTTTGATAATTGAAATTCCCTCCCCCCCCCCCACCTCACTGTAAACCTGTTTGGGCATCCTAAGCCACTCGGAGGACTGCACCGCTGTGGTGGCGCATGCAAACTACAGCGGAATTCTATCCAGGCCATAAGTCGTGCAAGGTTCCGAAGGGTTTCCCAACTGTTTCCACGATTTCCCATTGATTTCGGATGGGCCTCACAAGTACAGAAGCGGCAGAAACTAGCATTGTCGTAGATTCAAACCCCATGCCCGACTGGCTGGGCTACCAAAAGATGAACGGAGCACCCGGCGACCGTAGTGCCACTGTTGTTGTTCGACCCTCTTATGCAGGTCTCTTGGGGCATTCCCTATTCTCCCACAAGTCTCCCAACATTCCCCACTGATTTTGGACAACGCTTGGCCTAACTGATTGGCAGGTTGCTCCAAGTCCCGTCCCAGCATCTTCGTCTGCAACTCACGGCAGGCACATTTCCAAGAACCCCCCAAAGATCCAATGAATCATAGCTGATGCGCGTGCAAGCAGTAGAGCGTCCATGGCCGAACTATGATGATGTCCGTATTACCAGCACGTGCGATTGGCCAGAGCGTCCATGGTTGAACGATGATTACGTCTGTGTTGCCCTGGTCGATCGATCGATGAGTACGTCTGTGCTACCAGTGCGTGCGAATGGCGGCTATCAAAAAAATGTTACGATCCAAATCTTTCCTGATCATCAAAAACAACTCTCCGGCCATCAAAAAACTTTCTCTCGATAGAAGAACTGCATCTTTCAAAATGCAGAACTGTGTTCGGTTTTGGATACTCGTGCAAAGGCTTTGGATTGCTCTGCCATCAAATTTAGTTGTTTGTTCAAATCCTTTGGTGAATTGGTGAACTGCAGAACAGTCACAGGGATCGTCGGGGTCGGGGTCGTGATCTGCACAAGTGTCGCTGCTTTTGGACCATCGACTCCTCTTGGAATTTGATAAGGGTCAACAGTCACAAGGATCATGGACGACTGGTTTCGTCGCTCCCAAATCCAATCAACGACGATAGGTTTCTTTGCTCCCAAAACCAAACGATCGGCTTATTTGTTCCCAAACCCAATTGTCGCCATCCTCGTTACTGTCATCATTTTGGACGCTCGGATCCTCCTGGAATTGTGAAGAATGTCAACAGTCACAGAGATTGTCGGGTGGGGGGGGGACCTCAAGGTCCCGGGGGGGGGGGGGCGCCACGAGAGATTTTCTTCCTAGCCCCCACCGGCGCGGCGCAAAAAGAGTCAGTCCCTACTACAGCTGGAACCACCATACTACAACCACATGGTCCGTACTACAGATGAAGAGCGGGCCCTATCACAACCGGTCCCCGATGGCAAAATGGGGTGGGTTTTGCTCTCAACCCAGCCGACTTAATGCATTCTGGGGTGCAGCTCTGCTCTTGTTGTACTTTGCAGTGGTGTTGGAGAGCTCTGGACATTTTGCATAGGTGGTATTGGAGGGGTTTTGGTATGGTTCTTTTTGTATGGTGCTCTTCGTGCGGGTCTCTTGGTGTATTGGAGGGCTCTCTTGGAGGGCTCTTAGAGGGGTGCTCTTCCAGGGCCCTTGAAGCCATGTTCTGGAACGCGCGTTCTTAGAGGAGTTTTTGCTTCGGGGTTTGCGGTTTCCGGATCAGGGAAGTGAGTGGAACAAGGGTGTAACAGGGATGATGATTTTTGAGGGGAACAAGGTCTGCTTGCCAACGTATCATATTTGGCCCCTTGCGGTTTCTCGTAGCCTGATCGTCGGGGATAGTCGTAGCTAAGTATTCTGACTGGGCCTCATTTGGCCCTTTCCGGTTCCTTTACCGTGAAGTCCGCGAATAGTCACACATCAGTATGCTCATTTGGCCCTTTCTGCTTTCTGTCCCTGGTACCCTGAAAGTTGGGAATAGTGATACCCATTTATCATCATTTGGCCCTGCCATACAATGAAATTTGGGAAGAGTCATAGCCAAAAAATGTGAGTTGGCCCCTTCTGGTTCCTTGTATCCTGAAATTTCGAAATAGTCCTGACTAAGTCTTATGATTTGGCCCTCGGTGGTTCTTTGCAACCTCATATTCGAGAATAATCATAGCTAAGTGCTATGACTGGGCCCTGTCCTATCATACCCTGAACTTTCGGAATAGTCATAGCCGCACATTATGTTTTGGCCAGTTCTGGCTTCGTATAGCGAATGAAGTGATTCGAGGAAGTTAACGTTCTTGGTATTCTGACGAACGGTCGTCCGTGCAACAGCTCAGGTTTCCTTGAATAAAACCATCCTGAAATCTTTCGGTAATTACATGAATTTAATAGCTGGTTGTGATAGGGGGGCTTCGTGGTTCTCCTAAATCGGCCTTCGGTTGCAGTACGGACCGTCTGGTTGCGGTACAGGGCTTCTGGTGGTAGGGACGAGTCGTCCCCCAACACTCACCTTGAAATCTCCGATATATCGGACCAAGTGGTCCTGAAACTTGTCCAAAGCTCAGGAGACCAGAATATTTGGTACACAGCAACTGGCGCAACTCCAAGGAGCTAGCTAAAGTGATGTGCTTGTTTTTCGAGAGGACGAAATACGACCTGCGGTCTTTCCTCTGGCGACCTGACGGTCGTCTTGATACGATCTGACAGCCCCAAACCCCTGCTTAACAACCTGCTTCCACTCCTCAGAGCTATATTCAAAAGATGTCCCGTGAACTTGATTTTGTGTTGGCTCTAGACCTCGAAGACCTATGGCCCATAGTAACAGCCCGAAAGCCTACGGACCTATGGGCTCTACAGCCTTTAGACCCCTGCCCACCCGCCCGCACACGCGCCTACAACTACCCCACCAAGGCAGGACCATTCATGAAACTATGGGGGTATCAATACCTGGTCACCTCCAACGAAGAGCCTGCGACTGATCGAAAGGTATCACATCAACTAATTCTCCGACAATCCCAAAAGTTGCAATCAAAACGCTGCTCAACTCAAGCGGATCAACTGGATCAGCTCGGCGGATGGCACTCGACTGCAGCTTCCGGAGCATGTTTTCACAGAGCATAGCGCGGTGGTTGCAAACCTCTGTCGCTCGGAGGGAACACGCATTTCCAATTTGCTTTGTGGAGGACTCTTTGTGCAACTTGTAATTGTATCTGATCCAGAAGCTTTAAAAGATCTCATGAACTCCTTCCCTCTGTCTACACACGGAAGAGTGGAAACGACACAGGGCAGCTCCGGGGCTGCCGTGCAGTCCGACATGGCACGGATCATCTATGCAGCGGCCTCCACCTTAGAGGGTAGAAAGGCCCGATTGCTTGCGGACACATCTTGGAGAGGCACTCAGTTGTCCAGGAACGTCTTCCGGCTCGATAAGCCGCCACCGCCACGGCCTGTACTTCGACTTCATCCGGCTCTGCGCTAAGCAGGAAACGACTTTACAAAGCCTCTTTCAAACGCGCAAAGATGAGCAGAGGCGCCTCCCAGGGAGTCCTGCCAAGTGTTATCCAAGTAGGCCAAGCCCACAAAGTCCCAGGTCTGCGGGTTGCAGCACACCTCGAAAACAAAGATCACCACTCAAGGTTTCACAGCGGGGGGTCCGCAGTCCGCATCCTCAGGATTCCTTCCTGGCCTGCTTCTGGAGGAAAGCTGTGTCAGCAGGTCCGATGAGCTTTTGACCGAGGTCAAACTGCGCAAAGACATCGCGAGATCCGTAAATGGCCTGCAGCCAGCCGAGCAGGGCACGTTGAGCAGCAGAGCAGCTGCAGAGCAGGTTGAGCTCAAAGGCAAACATGTGAACATGTGTCATCATGTCGTCATGTCGTCGTCTGCCTTTCGCAGACCGATCTCTCCGATTGCACCCCACAGAACCGTGGTCGAATAGTGGTTGATGCCTTGGTGCCTGGCGACGCGCATCTATTGGCTCCCACCACTGCGCTGACAAAGCAAGCAACACACAGGGATGTCATGCTAACACCAGCTGACTAGATGTCAAACAAAGGAAGCAAGCGGCATGACGGCAAAAGCCTATGCACTCCACCACGGTTTCCTTCATATGTCTGTGTCACCATGATGTGGGGGTTCTCAAGACTTAGGGTCCCTGTTGGGGAAGTGTGTTAAGAGGCTCTCTCTTGGAGTGTATGTCACGAGAGTCTCATTGCATGAATACGGTCGCACTGAACATCTTGTGGCTTAAGGTCACCCACCTCTCCCACAGAGACAAGCCATCCATCAAGCTGCTTGCACCAGTGACAGGTCCTCCGCAAGTCAAAGCACGCGTGGAGGGCTCGGAAACGGAACGTCTTGATGCACATAGTGCCATGAAAGCCAGCAAACTAAGCCGTTTGACTGGCTAAACCCCTTTTCATGAAACAGGCTGCTTTCTTACGGTAACAAGCGGTCCTGAACCTCCCTGACCCATGTAGACAGAGATCGATGAGAAGTGCACTGTCTTGTTGAAGGTGCTAGCTGAGGAAAGCCTACCATGTGAAGCGTGTCGCGAAAAAGAAAAAAGCTCCGCAGTGGCTCGCCGCTCGCCCGCCTGTGGTAGTTTGCCGCTGCATGTGCTTTGCTTCCAAAAGTCTGGAAGATGGAATTGCTCACGGTGCCCGTGGCCTGTCGCAGGCATCCGAGACCATTCAATCCATTAGGTGAGATCTGCTTGCAGGCTTCGTATGCTATTCTATCTCTCCTTTTTCTACCCCAGCCAGCGCCTGCACGAGAATCTCCACCGGATGAGTGAATTGCGGACTGGGTCTAAGCGGTTCTGGAGCACGCTGCTTGACCGCCACCAAAGCCGATTTGTCCCTAAGCTCGCTTGCATGTCCCGACAGAGATGAGCAAGTTGCCGAGGGCAGGACTTTGGCTGTAAAGTGTTTGCAATCTTTGCCTTGGCCTTCTGAGCTTCCTGCAAGTTTTCAAGCTTGAGCACTGCAGCTTACGCCGTGTCACACACTCTTGCTATCCTCTGCCGCTGATGAGCCAGAGAGGAAGGCCCCATAGTTCAGGAACCTGGCCACCGCTGCTGCTTTCGTGGGATCAAGCAAGCGGCCTTTGCAGCAGCCTGTACATCTTTCATCAGCTTTTGCTAGGTTTTACTGCCGCGTAAGCCTCGAGATGTGCTGACCGTCGACTGCGTGGTTCGTGATCACATCCAGGCACATGCTGCGAGTTGGCTCCTCGCGATCAGCAGAGAACTGCTTGCAGGTGTACAACTAGAGCCGTTAGCACTGAGAAGGTCTACCTTGCCAGCAACAGTTTTTGGGTAAGTAGCAGCTAAGTAGCATAGCAATGCATATCATTTTTGGCAAGTTTAGCTTGGCTCAAGCGTTGGCACAGTTTCCTCCAGGCTGTCGACACGCGGCAATCGGCCAAGCTCCACGAGCGCCAGGTTCAGGCCCTTTGGCACCGCTTGCTGCAGGAACCTCAGAAGCAAAAATGTCGACCCTTAAAAGCAATGAACTTTTTGGCTTGGGCCCCCACGTGCTGGCAACGGCCTCTCGCAGCATGGCAGCACTGCGACAGGCCACGCCCAGGTTGCTAACCTGGGTGCAAGCAGCATGGCGCGAAGCCTCCTACGAAAGCCAGCCACAGAATTCCAACATCTCGGGCCCCGGCGCCAGCGATGAAGCTGACACCCGGACAGGTGCGCTTCACCTCTGCCACGGCATCGATGAAGTCCTTCGGGGAAGCCCGGATTCCATGGGAACCTCATGATGTCCAGGACATGCACCCTTGGAGTAGTTCACTCTTCCACCGCTTCTGTGGCAACTCCAAGGCTCCCAGACCTCAGGACGGCACCCAGAGGCGTGACGAGACAGTCGAAGATGATATCCTGCGCTTTCGTCCGCAATGGCAATTGCAGTAAATCCCTTTTGACTCTACTTTCTACTGATCATACAGTAGCATCTATAAGGTTACAGTAGCAGAGGCTGGCTCCTCTTGACCGCTTGCAGAACAAGGGGGGGGGGGGATGATCCCTCTTCATTTCTTTAAGATGTGATTAGCTCAGCCATGCAATCTGAAAGGGACAAGTGCGTGGCATGTCCTCCGCAGGGAAGTCCAGCTTGGATCGCAGCAGCTGGTAGGCACGCTGGCAGGAGGTGACCTTCTCCTGATAGTTGGGGAACTCGCCATCCGCCTGCCAATGGTAGCAATTGCCAGCTTGCCAGCGTGCAAGGTCATGCAAGGTCAAGATCTCGGCCCCACCCTGGACATGGCCAGCACGACGATGGCTGCCCCGAAGCGCCTGCAGAGATGATCTGAGGCGAACATGAAAAAACGCTTTGCCCTTCACGCGGACTGCCCGAAAGGATGATGGTCCAACGCCTGCACTCAGCAGCAACCCGCACGAACTCCTCCTCGCTGCTGGCCATGGAGATGCCGTTCACGATGCACTTGCCCTGGCGCAGCTGGCGCAGGGCATCAGCGGCTGGGGACAAAAACACGACTTTTTTGTTCTAAGCTTGTGGGTGTTTTGGCCTGTGTGCTCTTCAGGCCCTCAGCGATCACGTCCCAGCTAACGGAGCTGATGATGAGGGGCAGCTTGGAAACCTGGATGGATCTGGAATGCTTTGAGTTGTCTGGTGAGGCAGTAGGCGGTCCACGTGTCCTGCCTGTGGGTGTACAGCACATCTCCGCACGAACTTGCCCATGGCAAGCTTGGAGTCAAAGTCCGGAAGGTCAAGGTTGACATCCAGCAGGTCGGCCTGCAGCTACCCGAGAAGCTATGGCTATGGTTCTCTTCTATTGGGATAAGTAAGCTTCACAGCGGCCAGACACAACATCTCAAGACTTGGCCTCGTCTTGAACCTGCTGCGCTGCAACATCTACCGCCGCCTCCCAGACATCGTCCTCCTTGCTGTACCTCAAGCCAGCATACAACACAACATAACTATCATAACAACACAACGATGCAAAGCTGCTTGTTTCGGGGATCCTCCTGAGCTGCACGCTTGTAGGCCTGCATGAGACCTTTGAAGCGATGGGAGCCCTGAGCAGGAAATGACAAAAACACAAGACATCGCCCGGGAATGGAGTGGGATGTCGGGTTTGACAGCGCCTGCATGGGAAGCGCGCCAAAACAAAGTTCAGGAACAGCACGCGTTTCAACATGGCTTGGGAATGGGAAACATCGGTTTGGACGCTTTGCTTGGAGGCTTTATGTTTACTTGGGACCATGCCGGCTCTGATGTTTTCTGCCGAGGATTTGGGGGTTTTTTGCTCCAAGATCATAAGGATCACAACAGATTAGCGGAGCAATAAACTCACGAAGCCCTTGCATGTTTTGAACAGATTTGTTGCCTGGACCATGGACCGGCTCTCAAAGGACAAAAAAAACAAAGGAGGAATGGGAAAATCCTCCGAGGAAGCTTCAGAAGTGCAGCAGGGCCCTGGCCTGGACGTGGCAGCGTTGCCCAGCGAGCTTCAGGCCATCCTCCGGTCGGGCTGTCATGGCCTGAGCAAAGTTGATCTTGGAGGGGAGTCCCTTGAATCCGATTTTTTCAGTGTTGCAGAGTGTAAGAGTACTCTTGATTCTTAAGCACGTGCTCAAACCCTCCTTTGCTACGGGTGTGACCTCCGTGGTTGTGCTTGGCCCCGGGCCTCGGAGCTGGAGAGCTGCAGGGCGTTGGCGGCGTTGGAAGCGGGCAGCTTCCGCGGGGCCACCTGTCGCTCACAGGAAGCAGGCGTGCAGGCGTGCAGGCGTGCAGGCGTGCCGGAGTGACGCAAACCGTGCCAAAGCAGACATACGCAAAGCCAACTACAGGCTTCAAACTGGCAGCTTGGATTCAGCTCCATCTGTCACTCCAGAACGTGACGCATTCTCTTGCTCGAACACCGAAAGTCGCCGAAGCCTGGCCCAGCTTGGCGGCAAGAGCTTGGACATCCTGGCAGTGCAACGAAGTCAAATTCGCAGACACTTGGCTTCCAACTTGGCGTCTTGGCGTCTGCAACGGCTTGACACCCTCCTGGGGCTTTGATCCCGAAGGCGAGGCAAGATTCACGGAGCTCGAGGGGTCGCCACCCGCCCTTTGGAAACATGAGTTTGGAAACATGAGGGAATCGTCAGTTCAAGCCTGAAGAGATCTGAGCTCAGCGCAGGTGAACCCAACAGGAGCATTCCCGGGCAGCTTCGGCCACCTTTGCCCAGCACACTTGCATGCTTTTGTGGGCGAGCTTAGCTTTAGGACATGAGATTTCCGCCTGCTCTCCACCAACGCCAAAGGCGAAGGGCTGCGCATGCGCCAAGCTGGCCAGGCAAGCGGAGAGTGTCTGCCCTGAGGCTGTCCGCCCATCCTCCCGGAACTTCAGATGTAAGATTGGAATCAATAGCTCTGCTTACACGACTGTCTCTGAACCTTCATGACGACGTTGATGATAACTGGCAGCCGGTCTTTTGGATTCATAGAGAAGTGCTCCTCTATGGCGTAGATGGCTGCCTTCCCGCAAAACCGCAAAACTAACACACTGAGACACGAGTCGCTCTTCAATGCATTCAATTGAATCCCAATCACCAGTTACACCAGTCTGGGCTTTCTCTGTTTCCACTGCCGTGCAAAATCGGCTATGCGCCTTGGCATTCAGCGTGTCTGAAACCATGTCCAGCATGAGGAGGTGCACGCCGCCATCCACAAGCCCTTGTACCTGACTCATTCTGACTCACTGACGTGTCTACAAAGTCGAATACCCTTCCTTGAATCGGTCCCACCTGTGGTCGGTAAGACTGCACCAGTTGATCCCACGTAGCGGCAGGTCGGATGCCTGGATGCAGCATGTATACGTGCATACGCCTCCGCTTCTCACACGCTCAGCCCGGCCTGAAATGCCACCCACGGACGGCCCCAGAACGCCCGCGACGTACTTCAGCTGGTTCTGGCTAACGGCCTGAACGCGAAGAGCTGTCTACGTTGAAAGTTATCTCATTTCCGTGTCGCGTGTTCCGCAGGCTCGGGCCTCTGCGACAGCCTGTTTGGCTAGGCCAGCTGCGGCACGGTTCAGCTCGTAGGAAACAGCCTGGAGGCTCAGCATCACCAAGAGAAGGCATGACCACAGTCACTGCAGGTTCAGAGTCAGAGCACCTCTGTGCCATAGTACTTCTGACACAGCGCGTCACCATACAAAGTGTTTGTCCTGCACACTGCTGCTCTTTTTAGAGCACTGGCAGGCTCCCGGGTCAGCACCACTAAATGCCTCTAAGGCGGCGCAGAGAAGTCGCTGCGGGTTGCTACAAACAGTCCTGATGATATCTGCACCAGCCTTAAGGAGAGCTCGATGAGCATTCATGACCTTGAAGCATGCTGACAGCCCAGGCTTCTGCGATTGCGGCTAATTTTCGTATCCAAATGCGGCTCAGGGGCTGCATCGGGCTTCGTGATGGACAACAGGTTCAGGTTACCCTTTGCGGAGGCCGGGAAGCGTGAGCCGCGGAAAGAGGCCTCCGCGAAAACAGGACCAACGAAAGACCAACATGAAAAGCAACCCAGAACCCATTTTCCTGGCTATGAATGCGCTGAGCCTCATCCTTGATTTCTGAAAGCTGCTCGCCAGGGCCCAGAGGGCCGTCCAGCAGAAGCACCTCCCAGAACAAGGCGATCAGAACACCAAGACATTGACTGAAAATGACTGAAAGCATTTGAAGGACCATCTATCGCCTTCTGCCCAAGTGACACATTCAGCTGCGCCAAGAGGTTGCTCGCTCCCACGGCGGTGCCAGCGGCCAAGGCCGTTTGAACCTGTTGCCTCAGGTCACAAGGAGATGCGTGCAGGGCAGCGCAGGGCACATGCAGGCCCTGACTGTAGGGCGCCAGAGCCACCAGTGCTGGTAACACGGCAAGGATCTGCACGCGAGCAGCCCGCGTCGGGTGAGATCTGCCAACATTCCCAGCATTGCGCATTGCTGCATCTCGAGCCGGCCATCTTTCCATGGTGTGCCTTGCCCGACGAAGCGACGTGGGCGGGCTTCAAGGTCTGGAAGAATGCTTTCTGCAGAGCAGGCCTCAGCGAACAGGGCGCGTCCATGCGTTCCTGCAGAATGACTTCCAAGTCGAGGCGACCACGTCGCGAGCGGGCCACGCTTCTCCAAGTACTCGCGCTGTGCTTCCTTGGCCGCTGCCTTGCACTCCGGCAGGTCCCACCAGGCCTGAAGTCAGTTTTTTTTCTCTAGATGCCACGCATGCTGCACTTGATGCACCTCCTGGCCAGACTCGTCCTTCGGAATTGTTGCCTGTGGCGAGACTTTTGGTTGAAGCTGTTGAAGACATGTTTTCAGGGCCTGGAGCGGAAGGCAGACCGTGGCGCCACTACGAAAGCTGATGAAGCCCATAAAGCTCTTCAGCACAGCTTCATCCTTGCCGCTGTTCAAGATGACCTCAGAGAGAAAGCAGGGAGGAAGAAGACGAGAAACATGCTTCATGGATGTCTCTCGTTTCCCGAAAACTATTGTTTTTTTTTAGAGCCGTGGCTTTTGGCTAAAAGCCAGGTGGCGTCCTCACAACGCTGCCTCGTCTCCTTGTCCAGATCGCTGTAGAGCGGAAGGTGCCCGGCCTAGCCACGCTTGGCTCAAGAGGCACAAGCAAAGTGCTCAAAGCAAAGTGCTCTGCTTTGAGGCTCTCTGGGAGCGGCCTCGGCCATGGCTACGTTGAGGCCTCCAAGAAGACTCCAAACGCTTTGCGTGTGCTTTTCTAAAAAATTGAGAAGCTGCTGCTGTTGCTCTTCTCTAAACGCGCCTTTCGGCACCGCGTGCTGGAGGAAGACGCTGTGCAAAGCCTTGCAAGGATGCGAAAGAGGAAAAAAAAGCCGCTTTTTTCCGCTTCGAGCTTCGACGACCCCGCCTCTCGCAGCTTGCTGAGCTTCCCGAAGGCAGCGCTCAGGTTGCTGACCCCCGCCGCGACACTGGCATATGGACAAGTCCTGCGGACCTCCGCAATGGCTGCGATCACGTCCTGGCTGTGCACCGGGGAGTCCCGCTTAGGAAGGAAAGCAGGTCCGGTCCAAAACAGCATTTTCTTTCAGATGCCACTGCGTCACTGCGTTGAGGGCCCCGCGGCTGGGTGCTCATCGGGCCGGAGACTCTGAAGGTGGCAGTCGAGGATCATGTCCTGCTGTAACCCAACACCCTCCACGTTCTGCCCTAGCCCTCCTGAACCCGCTGAGCCTCGGGGGGGAAGTCCAACTTCTGCCGCAGGAGCCGGTAGCTCCTCTGCAGCACCGCTGCCTTGTCCTTGGTTGAGGAAGTCGGCTGCAGAGGAAGTTTGGAGGAAATGAGCGCACCTTGGAGGTGACGCAGCGACCTTCCTCGCTGATGGCCATGATTACCACCGCAGCCCCGTGCTTCAGGCACTCCTGCAAACAGAGTAGTCGGGGTCTGAGCTTTTTAACCACTGAGCCCAGGCATGTCGACCTTGGCAATCCGGAGGAACTCCTCCTCACCCACCATCAGACAGATGGCGTTCACCTTGAAATCATATTTCAACAACGCGACTTCACTGCTGTGCTACTGTGCATGCTCGGCTCAGCCAAGTTGCCACACTGCGGCCCTGGACGCTGCAGAGCCCTTCTCGAAGGCACTTCCAGTCGGAGGAGCAAAGCATGAAAGGAGCTTTTGAGACACGATCGTCTGCATCGCACATCTCCACAAACTTCCCGAATACAGCCTTGCTTGCACGGTTGCTGCCATCATTTGCGATGCCATCCACGCAAATGTCCAAAATGTCTGCACCCTTCTCGGCATCTTGTGCACATACGTCCAAGGCTTTGTGCAGGCAGACCGGGTCTTTCTTGGCCTTGTACTCATCTATCAAAGCTTTGAAGCCATCAGAAGCCCGCGTGCTGCCCCGCTGACCGACGAGGCTAAAGTCGGTGAGCGTGTGGACGGTGTGACCCGACAGCATCATGGCCTTGGTGGCTTCTGGGAGGGCGCGCGGCACCCCAGAAATTTGCAGCTGCGCCAAAGCGGCCACATGCGCTGGCAGCCCGCTGCTAGAGACACCCAGCAGGTTGGGAACTGCAGCCTTCAGTGCTTGGCCCGCGTCTGACGCAAGGCTGTTGGGAGCTTGTCCCTCGTCGCCCAAGCGAATGCCTGTGAAGCTCTGGCTCACATTGGCCAAGCCTGCATAGGCCCCGAGTACTTTCTCACTGCCAGAGCCAGCGCTGAAGCCAACCACCAAGGGCTTTGCATGCTTCACGCTCACGTAGAAGGCATCCAAACCCTGGCCGCCAGGTGTCCGCCCGGTTGTAGGGTCAACGACGGCGTGGATCAGCATAGGTGGAACACGTTGCTTCAGCTGGCGGTAAACCTCTCCCGCGGCGTAGATCGCAGCTTTGGCGCTCACCGCGTCCGAGACGGCTTCCAGCGCCAGCAGGTCCACGCCCCCATCTGCCAGCCCTGCAACGAGGTATATGCGAAACAGTTGACACGGTCAGTATGAAGCAGGGCCTTTGATCTGCTCAGTGTAGGATTCGACCAGGTCATCGAAGCCTACACTGCGTGCTCGGCCGGCGCCTGCACAGGACTCAGCTCCCCTAGATGCCCTGCAATGCCCTGCAGTGCCTAGCAGGAGGTTGCTGTTGGGGCCGATCAAGCCGGCAACCAGGCGCGGCTTCCGGGGGTCCTGCTTGGTAATTTCCTGAGACAGATGAAAAGCAATGCTACGCTTTGGAGCTCTTCTGCACTTCTATGCCATGCAAGTTTGATTTGACTCAGACCCAGTGGCAGCTGCTGCTCGCTTGGCCAGTATGGCCGCCGTTTTGTTCATTTCCGTCACAAACTTCGTGGTCTTGAAATCCCTTTGCGCCTTGCAAATTTCACCATGTGATCCGTGCCTTCTCAATAGTTCAAATCTCCATCTTGAGGCTGCTGATTTTCATCAGAGATATATCTGAGGCCCACGCCAACAGGTTCGCATTGAAAGTGTTTGTGCCTGGGTTCTAGGAGGCTTGATCAGCGCTGGGATCTGGGCATACTGAAGATCAAGACATTGCACCGGCAACTTGGCCGATCTGAAGACAGAACCTGAAGCTCGTTAGGCTCCTGGCAGCAAATGTCTGCTCCGGCTTTCAAGTAGTCCTTGTGCGTGTCCTGAAAGCAGTGCTATCTCACTTCGAGCTGCAAGACTTCTTCATGCAAGCTGTCCCAACTTTCAACTGCATTCCTCTCAGGCCTAGACAGCAGGCATTTTGCAGGCTGAGCGGCCAAGACCAGATTAGGCTTGGAGAGCGAGAGGAGGTCCACGTTGCCCAGCTGGGAGGCGGAGTCTCGGAGGACCTGACAACTTCACCGCTTCCACCGGCTCGCTTCCACGAACATCAACGCTACAAGTAAAAAAGAGCCCTTCCTTGGAGGCCGTGCCTTGGCGCGCTCCCCGCGGAAGTCCGCCTCAAAAAGCAAAAGGTGGGGGAGGGAGACGTTGCTTCTGAAAGCAGTTTGGGGACTTTGTTTGTTGCTTCCGCCTCGGAGAGGCCGGCAGCCCGCAGCTTCGCCGCGGGCCCGGCGTCCAGGAGCAGCGGGCGCTTCTTCATCTCCTGACCGTCTCCCCGTGATTCAGCTGTGCAGCTTTCACATGCTTGCACCTTGCTCCTCGCAGCGCGCCTCGGCCAGGTAGAGAGCCACATCTGCGGCGCCCAGCTTGGTCTTGGCCATCACGTTGTGCGCCAATTTCTCCTAAGCTTCACATGGAGGGGCCGCGCATCTCCGACAACAAAAAGGTGCGCAGACAAGCTGCTGTGTCGACCTTCGTCGCTGGCAAGCGGCAGAAGTCCATCCTGATCGAGGTCAGTGGTAACTGCAAAGGCTCTCATGCTCTCTCAGGCTCTCTAGATCTCTCTAGTATTCTCTCTCCTCTCTTTCGTTCAATTCCAAGAGGATCTCTCGTAGGGTCCTCTCGGCTGCAATGGAGGGATCGGCAGTCACCTCCTGCGCCGGGAGCACCGCCACCTTTTGCGCCAGACCTTGCAGCGCTCGCTTCTGCTCCAATGCGTTCTGATGGCCTTCCGGTTCCGCCGCGAAGAACGTCCCTGGCTTCCCGTCCAACGCGGAGACCAAGTTGGAAGGAGCGCTAGAGGTCTTGGGCGGACGCTTGATGGGGAAGCAGGTGTTGGGAGGGAGCAGATTCGTACTGGTGCTCGGCAGGTTCTCCGAGGGTTTTGCAAAGCTCGGGAAGGGGCCTCGAGGCCAGGCTTTCCGCAGCTTCTCGAAGGCCATCTGCCGCTCGAGTGGAGACATGTCAATCAACGCTCGGCACTCAGTGATCACCCGATTCTTGCTCTCCTCGTTCATCATGGCAAAGTGCTTGGCCTCCTCCTCGGGGAAGCCAAGCATGTCCACCAGCATCTCCTCCGAGGCGTGGGCAAGTTCCTCCAGAGGTGGGATTTCCTTCACAGTTGTCTGCCGACGCCGGCGCCTTGCGCGATTCTTGGCTGTGTCCGTCTCTGCAGCAGCTGCAGCCAGGTCCATGCGCTGTTTCTCCAAGGGCTTCTGGTACATCTCGGACAGCTTCGCCCAACCAGACAAAGGAGTCTCTTCCCGTTCTCGCTGCACGGGCTGCACAGGCTGCACAGGCTGAGGCATCTGGGGGAAGATCAGCCCAGCACTCTCCTTCAGTGCCTCGGCGATGTTCAGGGTTGACAGGCCCTCCATATCCACAACGATCATGTCCCTGCCGTTCTCACGGATGTTCACCCAGCCGCTTGGAGGCCCTCGCATGGAGAAGTCAGTGAAGCTGAGGCGGTTGCCAACTACCTGCACCTCCTCTACAACGGCTCCCTGAGGCAAAGTTCCTGGCAACAGAGGAGACGACTCAGAGACGCCCTGCCACACGGTGAGGCCATTCTTGGGAGCCCCAACCACCTTCCAAAAGCGACCGGGCCGCGGGAAGGCAGAGTTTGGGGGTGCTGCGGTCTCGATGGACGGCTGCGGCTGCGGCCTCCATTTTTCGCTGCCTTTCTTCCTCTTGGCCGTACCGTCCAGGTCATCTTCTGCCTGTACTGGCACGGAGGCTCCAATTGCACCTGCCCGCTTTTCGACCCGTGCGAGGAGGTCGGTGTTGCCCTCCCTGACGTCTACCTAGGAGGAGGCTCAAACTTAACTAGCATGAAAACTGAGACCCGTAGCTTGAACCAGGATGCCCATCCAGTGTAAGGTCCTCGGCCAGATAGCCGAAGAAAGCGAAGGCGATTGCCCTTCAGCTCCTGCTCTTCTACTACCTCAGCATGCTCCGGGATACAGAACTCTCTAGAAGCCATGTGCAGGGCTCCCTGCAGCACCAGCAGGGAGAACTTCTGGCAGCTTGCGGCAATAGTCCTTCAGCGTCAGAGGCATCGCCAGACAGGACTGGCCACTATTAGCCTGAAATGATCAAGAATTCCCCGTACGTTGAAGAAGAAAACCAGCGCTGTCCTCAGGACCTTCTCTTGCTATCACGCCGTCCCTTTCAAGGACTTTCCATCGCTGTCCTTTCACCATGGCCTTGCGAACAGGATACGCGAAGCCCTCTTCCTCTGCCTTCAGCACCATTACATGCTACGCCCAAGAAATTCTGTGCTTCGGGCGGAGGCCAAGCCGCGAAATAGGCAAATGCTGCAGCTACGCCAGCTACGCAAGCGTGCTTGGCTGTCTGGTTTTGGTGCGCTTTCTTCGGCTTACGCAGAGTTAGTGTCTCCCCGATCTTATGATTGCTTCTCCTCCGCATGACCTTGGAGCCCAACTCCTGTCTCGGAAACCGACGGTGAGCGCTGCGGTACAAGAACGAATGCACCCTTGGCTTTTCACTGTTTCCGGATGGTCACCCACTGGCAAGGCTGCTTTCTTGAGATCAGGGCATCACTCAGCAGGACACATTATCACATTATCTGGGGCTACGGATTCTCTACGCTTTGCTACGATTCTCCTCTTCTGGGAGCTCCGCGCCGCTACGCGCCACGACGGGCCACGCCCGCCTTCAGCCACGCTACACAGAATGGTCGCGGCCTCGAAGGGCTTTTGAAGGCACAAACAGAACGCAAGTGTCGTGAGTGATGAAGGTGCTGGGCACCGAAAGCCTTGGCGAGCTCGAGATCCGTGAGGTTCGCCATGGGCGCCTAAGCCCAGCAGCTTAGCTCGAACTTCTCAAATTCGTTCCTCTGGCTCAGAGGCTGCTGCCGGAAGATTCGTCGCCTTCTTCTCCTCGAAGGTATACTAGTTTTCACTTCTTCCGCCTTACCACAGCTGCAGTTCGCAGCCTTCCCTTGTGGGACGAAGACCGCGCAGCTGCAGCTTGCTGAGCCTGTCATCCAGCCTGTCAAATCTGTCCGAAACTCCTGACGTTGATGTGACAAGATGCAGCGGCTGCATGCGGCTGCAGCCGCCTTGGTGGACAGCGCGGGTCCTGCGCGCTGTTTACAGCCGAAAGCAAGCGATTCATTGCACCCTTTTCTGGAAAAAAGCTTGCTATCGCCAAGTCTTCTCCTCCCAAAGGAGCGTTGGGTGTAACACCTCGGCGGGATGAGATGTGAAATTCGATGAGTTTGAGGTAGTCTGATCTGAGCGTAGTTGGTTTGAGCTGGGGATGCAAAACTCTCTGGAAAAGGCTTTGGACTATCTCATTTCGCTCACCTTTCTTGCTTGGGTTCCGGCATCCGCGGGAGTCTCCGCTGTGGCATCGTAGTAGGTTTTCAGTAGCTGCCTCAGGCACAAACATCTCAATGTCAGGCACCGCATCAGGCACCGTAGCAGTCTGCTTTCGGAAGGCAAGCACAAGAACATTTCGAGAGCTTCTGCAGCTCCCAACCCATCTCTGCAGCTCAGCTGCGGAACTGGTAAGGAGCTATGCAGCCTTGACCGCCAAGGCGCCTAGACGTGGCTTGCAGGATCCAGTTCATGTTCCTGAAGATTATGCACTTAGTACTTTGCAGTTCGAATAGCTTCTTGCTTCGCAATAAAACATTGCCCAGAACACAGCAAGGAGTTTCCCCGCGCTGGGACCTTTAAATTGCTTTAAACTTTAACAGGCTTGGTCACTTCAAGGCTCCCGTGCAACTGCGGATGTGGGTGAGACCAATTGCAAGAAAGATGGCCCGTTGGCGCGCTGCTTCCAAAAGGAAAGCCAGCGGTCTTTCAACGGCTCAAAACTTCCGGAAACCCTAGCCAGAAACCTTAGACCCAAAGCCTTTTCCAGGCACCTCGAGGATGGGAACAGCGATGCGCAGGCGGAAGCGAAGCCTGAGGGACAGGGGAAAGGTCTGGGAATCTTCTGTGGCAATCTAATTTCTGAAAAGGAGACCCCCCAAAATCTGCCCGTGTCAGATTGTCGAGACGGTTGAGGGGCGGAAGCTCCGGGGATGCGAATTAAGGCTGGGGTTCAAGTTTAGATGCGCGAGTGACTGACGCACTGGCAAAGAACAAAGGTTTGCAGACTGTTGTTGAATTGGCTCCGATCCCAAAGCAATGTCTTTGTGACATCGCTGAAATAGTCAAGTATGACGACCAAGCCGCTATGCGGGAGGCGGACCGACCCACGCTCACACAAACAATTGTGGAACCTCCGACTTGTGGGGGAATTCTATTCCCGGGTCCTTGCATTTATCTCTAGTGCTTTCTGTTGTTGATCTAGGAACAATGGTGCTTATCAAACGCTCGTAATCCTGCATAGCACTTTCTGTTCGGAATCCTTCATGGCATTCTGAAAGACCTGCCCCTTCAATGGGGACAAACCCTCTGAAGCCAAGATGCCCTTTATACGACAATAGCGCAACATGAAGCCCTCTAGTTTGACCACATGGAAGAACTGCAGTTTAGATGCTTGAGCTCAGCGAGGCGTGCCATGACGTCAGCAAGGTACGCCTGGAACAGACTTCAAAATGCTATATGGAAAGGCAACAGACCGTGACTCCCACCTCAGTAAATGGAGGGTTGATGCACACAACCGAATTCACGGGCAAATAGTCGATGACGGATGGATACGATCCTCGTTCAACATTGCTTTGAACTGAGACATCGTGAAAACGCCGCAATGTCCCATTGTGTCCTATGGAACCAAAGCGCCACCTGTGAAGTGCCGGAGCTTGACAAGTGGATTTCGAACAGCCGGGCAGTGTCTGAGATGACAACTCTACATGAGGCCATTTGCTCGAGAAGCGCCCTGGCTGCAGGAAGTCGGTCTCAGATAGGCGAATGCATGACGGCAAACATCTAGCAAAGATCATGCCAGCAAGACCGTTTTGGACGGCTGCGTTCAGTGGCGAGGCAAACAGCTCAAATTCGCAATGTCGTCGAATCTCGGGGTCCAGCCTTCCACAAATGGTTTGCAGCGACTCGCCATCACTTGATTTCACAGGGAGCATGCAAGCATTGCTGAGACCGCGGCCCCAAGTGAACACCATTGCGGCGGTTGCTCAATGGATTGTCAAAAACGCTATACAAGGCCAACAGGCGTGCCTGAGCTTGGCAGCATGCGAGGCTTCCACGCAGATCACTCATGTCACCAGCGCAGCCCGTTGTTTACATGTTGGCGCCCAGCTCATCAAAAGCCTTTCTCTGACAAGCTGTGGGCATCTGATTCATGCTCTTTCAACTATGGCACTATGGCAGTGTTACTCTCTCGGGCTTTCTGCTCACATGGAGCTGGGAGCTTTACTCAGGTAAAAGGGCCGTTAGCACGCAATCTCTCCAAGCAAGTGGCGATCTCCAGCGGTTTCCGCTCGTCCTGGAAAGGAGGTACCCATCTGGCGTTGAGGGCCTGCCATATTCGGCTGAGCAATGGAAGGTAAAAGCTGACAGCATGGTGGCATAGCCTGAATGTCTCGAGAGCGGCACGAGATTTTGTGCCGGCCAACCCAGACCTGAAGACTCTCCCGGCCACCCGGGAGATAACTTTCCAAGGGGAATAGGAGATCGTGGCCTCTGCGCTGCCGCTCCAGCTGACGCGCTGAGAGAGCACCTGCCAATGGGCCCAGGCCCTCCGCATTTAACGCCAAGAACCTTCCCCTAAAAAAACCGATGTCCAAGAGATCGTATTTAGTGACTTAGCGTAATATATTAGTGAATGTTTTATTGTTCTTCTGCGCATCTTCGCCGAGGCCAGTGATCCCAGAGGGGTTCTTTTGCAACGGGGCACTCACTGTCTCTCTTTCAGGTTTCATCTTTTTGTTTCAACTCTTGTGTTGGGGGGGGAGGGGGGGGGATGTTGCAAAGAGGGCGGCTCCTGGAGTCTGGAGCTGGGAGAACTTTGCAGCAACAGCATGCGCATGGGTAGCCTTCACAAGCATTTGCAACCTCCAAACCGTCCGGCCTCATGAGGGATCCTGCTGATTCTCTGCACAATACCTTGGCATCAGCTTTGCAACGCAGTTGCTGCTGGAGCGCTTACGCGAAATGGAGACCCTCTACTTTCTGACGTCCTGATGGGAGCGCGAATCTTGCATCCGCACCTTTTGAAGGCATATGGCGTTTTGAACTAATTCCGAAGTATGCCCAAGCTGAAGCCCATAAGCAAGACGGCTTCTTCTACTTTTTTCACCAGGCCGCTGCGACGCATGGACTCCGACACGTCCAAGGTCTGCCAGAGCGGTGAGTCCACACCCGGGATCAGGTAGTCGCCACCCTGGCCTCAGTGAAGCCCCGAGCTACTCATTTCTGCGTGTTCAGGGATTGCAACAGTCTTGCAAGGGTTCTGCAAGGGAAATCTGTACCTCGCAAGCAATCAACTCTGGTTTGTCAGAGTAGCTACTGCCGCTTGCTTTGCAGCTTCTCGCCATGCTGACCCTGTCGTAGCTTGAAATAAGGCAAAAAGCAGCATTCATTTCCCAATATCTCCCCAATGCTCCCCGAATCTCCCCGAATCTCCCCGAGCACCCTCATGCATCTTAAGCTGTTCAGGCTCCCCGGCGCGTGGGGTGAAGGTCGTGGTCCATGAGGATGTGCGTCAAGCGCTCCTGGCTTCAGGATATCTGGTTTTCCGACCTCTTTGTGCAGATGAGATGCTTTCCGGGATCGTGTAGCATGTTAGCATATGATAAGTTATATGGCAGTTCGAACTTGCGCGGCTTCGTCTTTTTCGATTTTTTAAGCCGCTAAGCAAAATCAGGAGAAGCATATCCAAGCCCAACCAAAGCTGACTAAGATCATAGTCGGGTACAGTTGACACGCACGTCACACCTACAGCATCGTACTTCACTTCTTGATGATTATCACGATCATTTTCTTGAGTCCTGCTACCAATGTAAACTATTGCAGTCGTTGTTCGTTCATTAATGCCGTGCTTCTTCTGGCAAAGCTGGGGTGGACTACGAGACCTGCACGTGTAAATGGAATTGAAGTGTATCGAGGAATTGACTGGATCTGGAACCTGGGTTGAGTAGGGGTTTAAGGTTAGGAAAGCATGTCTCATTCTATATGCAACATCCTGGGCACGTCATACCTGGCACACAAAATCAACTACACACGATGTTCTGTCTAAGATATGCAGCGAACGATAAACTACGACGCAACATCGCATACGTTCCTTCGCGCTGCAAGTTCCTTGGGGCACTTGGGCCTTCTTGAATAGCAGCAGACAAGACTTGCTCCTGCCTCGGGACTTTTGGCACTTGCAATGGCGCTGTCGATGCTTTGGTTTATGGACGCCTCTCTTCATTGCACGCGGGATGACCCCACCAACGGTCAATGAGGTGCGACGACCGCCCACCCCGGAACATCCAGCGTTCCCGTCTGCGGATGAAAAGACTCAGCCTATAATGCACCTGCACGAAATCTGAAAAGCAGCACCCGCGTGGCCATCACATGCGGCTACACACCGCCAACTCCTGCGAAGGGTGCCCTTGGCAGAAATCCTGCAACATCCTGCAACCGCCTCTGGCGCAACCGGCTTCAGAGGTCAGCCAAGATCTCCGTGCGCATGGGAGGCAAAGGATCCGGCAGCGAGCCCGAGGATGAAGTTGCTCCGGTGCCATGCTCATCTCGGGGTCAGGGGACGTTCGGATGAGTAGCTATGTAGTGCTTCGTCCTGCGCCACACACGCTGGGAAATTTCACATCCAAGTCAACCTCATGCCTTCAACAGCGGTGCCACGGTTGCCTGAATCATTCCAGGCGCGTCCTTGATAGTCCGGAATCGCGGTGCCGAAACTGCACCCGTGCCGAAAAGGAACTCTGACGAGCTGGCATTTGCGAACGTGTGACAGCAATGAAAGAGCGGTTTGCCACTGGCGGTGGCTGCGTTACGGCTGCAGCAGACTTGATGTCGTTAGGGACGCACCTGGCTGTCGGCGTACGTGCGGCTTTTGGGATCATGCCACCCTCTCCCTTCTCACATGCGCTCATGCCAGTCTTGAATACAGTGTGACCACAAGCACAGAGCCATTTGCCAACTTCCAGGGCTCTCGCGTGCCTTGATTCTGGATGGTGGCATGGAAGCCGACAAAAAAGAACACCCCGATCCCCTAGAAAATGAACACTGGACTCAGCGTCATCGTGATGCAGCGGACACCGCATGGCATCGCTTTTTGCGACTAGGACACGTTGAAAAACGAAAGGGATCCGTGCCACCAGCAATGCATCACAAGAACCAACATTCAATTTGCCTACGAGTAGGTTATGTACAAAAACTAACACCCCCGATCGGCAGCGTGCTTTGCAAAATGCAAGCATTCGGCCATCCGCTTGCCCACGTGAAGCCCGCCCAGTGCTGCGCAGTGCCTGGTGTCATGGGCCTAAACCATCGACTCGGTCGCATTAGCCATGTCAAGGGGCTTGACGTAAGTTGGTAAGCCTGCCGACTTTCTACGGTATGACAACAGCATCTTGCGTGCAATTTCTCAACCACGCCATTGTGGGTTGGAAGCGCTGGAAGCCTTGCTCTTGCCAGAATTTTTCCCCTCCAGCAAGGGACTTCAGAACCACAACCTTTGCCCCTTCACTTGTAACAGCAGCAGACATGGGGAAACCATCTGTGACCCACCGGCGAGGCCGCAGCTCCCGCAACTGATAATTTCGCACACGCATGTAGACAGCCACCGCCATACCACGCCTCCCCATGTTCGGATTGCAAGAATGGCTCGATGCTGTTTCCAATGCATCCAGGCGCAAGATTCGTCTAATTGCAACTCCATCCTTGCAGCCATAGTCATGTAGGAGCGTTCTGCCAGTCCTTCCTCGAATGTGGAACTGACGGCTGAAGAGTCAAGCAACATAGTCTGGCCACATTCCAAAGCATCCACCCGCTCTTGCTGTTTGAAAATCTCTTCACATCTCTTGTCATGGATGTCCGTGAACGCTTCCTCAAACTCACCCGCACGAGCTGCCAACCGGATTGATCTTCGAACCCACCGCGAGGTGATGCGTTTTTGCGCTTGCCTTTCTTTGATGAGGATCAGAATGATAACACAAGCGAGCAGGAACGCCAACCATCCGAGGACGGCCCAACCCAACATCCAACTGGCCGCAGCGGGCACCTCAGCTTGCACGCCTGGTGCGTTGCCAAGCGCATGTTCCAGCAAGGATGCTGGCAACGGCGCTGGTGCCAGGCATGGGTGATTCCACGGTAGGGGCCCATCTGGCGCATCGCAGCTGTTCAGCAGCATGGCCTCGAAACAGAGAATGGAAGCCAAAAGCCGGAAAAAAGCTGCGTGAAAAAAAACAACATCTCCAAGCTGAGCCAAAATCTAATTTTCACTTGGCCTCGAGCCGGCCACATCCCTGGATGGGACAGAAGGGTTCTGATTGACCCTTAAAAGGTGCATGCATCCTCAAGGTGCCCAGATGAATATAAACGGATGTTTTTTTATGGCAGCACCCATTCTGAATTTTGAAATCGCTCTGAATGGAAGCTGCCATGGAGCGGGAGCGGCCTGCGGCTCGCTGCGAGCACCGATCATTTGCCTGATGTCCAGCAAGGCCGCAACTCCTTGGATCTCGGCTCAGATTCGGCGCAGACTCGCGGGTCTGGCTGCCCTCAAAGGTCTAGGTGCCAGGCGGGCACCATCGTAGAGGATGTCTCGGGGGACGTCCTTATCTGCATGGGACCACAAGGCCACCAGCAGTCACTAGCAGTCACTATCCGCGAGCACTCACTATACCACTTGTTCAGCCCTCAAAGTGATCTGCCTGAAGCCGTTCAGGCCCTGCCAGGCGCCCGGCCAAGGGAAGCCATGGCTCTGGAGCACAGTTGTTCAGCAGCCAGGGAAACGCGATGCTGACAGGACGAAGGATTGAAACATCTTCGGGGGCCATGATTCTTGCGATTCCATCAACTCGCCTGTCCACGTCCTTGTCGCTATCCTCGGCTGCTTCCCTCTCGCCGTTCCTCTGCAGAGGCAGCTGGTCTCAGGACACTCCCAACACTGAAGGACGGTGAAAGAAGGGTAGACTAGCAGTAGCTGCAGTAAGTGCTAGGACAGCAGTGACGATACTGAGCTGTCTTGGCTCCTTGAGGCACCGCTCGGCGCGAGCTCTTTGGTCCTGGACCAAACGCTTCGCCGGCCATCCTGCAATACCCTGGCTTCTGGTCCCAAGAACACAGCAGCAACAGAACCAATAGCAGCAACAGCAGCAACAGCAGCTGCATCATCCCGCATCTTCACAGGAGCAACCGGTGTGTTTCGCTGCTGCCAAGTGCTACCATCAAACTTGATAGAAGCTCACAAGGAAAAGTCCTCCGTGATCCAGACAAGCCTTTGGTTTTCCCGGTCCTTTGCCACCATGCACGTGAGAATCCAAGTGACACACATGTTCGATGAGGACCGAGTGGATGTGAACAGTTGAGCAACGTTGAACAAGTGTGCTCGCTATCAGGTTACACGATCACCCCGGCCCTAGTCCAGCAACTCTACATGCTCACACTATCTTTCTGCATCAAGCATCGGCAAGCTCCAGGGTGGCATTCCCACAGCGCCACTGGTGGCCGTCCTCCGGCCTAGCAGAGCTACTTCGTACGGCAGTGATCACATCGCACAAAGCAGGAGACTTGTTTTTTTTCAAACTGTTCGCGGGAAATTTCGGGCAGCCTATCGATCCGGAGAATGCGGTCTTTCGCATCGGGATGCTCCACCAGGGGGGTGAGCACTGCCGTGAAGATCAGCTCCTGTGCAAAGGAGTTCCACAGAAACACAAGAACATGCAAAACATGGTGACATATGGTAACCCGCTGGCTGCCTCATCCGTGGACTTGCTGACCTGTTCATTGAGTGTTCGCCCGAACTCCCCCGGCTTTGCCCCCGGCTTTGCAAGAGTTGTGCAGGCAAGCCGCAATGATGGAATGCCCTATGGAGTCCAGCCAATGCCTTGGCACAATCGCCACTCGGTCTCCATTTCAAGCTGCTCTCCAGTCCCGCACCCGCGAAGCAGCTGTGGAACCGGGTCGGTCGAAACAGCTGCTACCATCGCCTCACAGCCTGGATGCGGGCCGCCACAAGCGCGCTGCACATTTTCGACTCTCTGAGCCTCGCTGGCCGTGTGAGCGACCTCATCGGCCTTAAGTTCGAGTCCTGCACTATCCCTACTGCGAGCTGCGAGCATCAGGCCCAGCTGGGTGGCGAACGAAGACAGGCCGCCAGCTTGCGGCCTGTCGGAGGAAAGAGCTCTTTGAAAGATTCCAGTTGAGATGCACTCCAACTCAACAGAGCCGCATTCTGATGCCTGGCCCGCGCCACAAGGCGGTCCGCTTTGCGCTCCCTACCCCCCAGAGCTTGAGCCGCCAGGCTACGGCAACAGATCCATTCATATTTTTAAACGTAACCGGGCGTCGTTCCAAGAACAAAAAGCACAAATGCGACGCAGAGATCTCGGCTTTTCTCCGCGTTTCGGAATCCGAGCTCCGGCCAAACGTTGCAGCCTACTTGCTCTCCTCAGCAAAGGATGCCTTGGATGATGTTGGGGGCAATGATTCAATCAGTACACTGACGAGGAGTCCAGAAGAGTGTAAGTGAGGGGAATTCGCTTTAACCAGGCTGCCGCGTTGGCAATGAGCCAGCTCCGTAGCTGCTGCAACGCCCTGCCACGATGGGAGATGGCGTTCTTTGCCTCCTTCCTTGCAAAGAGCACAAAGAGCACATAGAGCATAAGCTCTGAACACTTTCAGTACTACCGCAACCGAGTAGACGAGGATCGTCATCTCGGCAAAGGTCTTCCCCTCGCCCTCCAAGGCCTCGAAGACTGGATCCCAGCCGAAATCCTCTTGAGCAAAAGCTTCGTTACTCAGCCTTCAAAGGACCAGTTCAGTTAGCCCAGCAAAGCCCAGCAAGGCTCAGGCCTTCGGGCCACGGGCCTCTACGATCTTCCCTTCGGTGCGGCCATCGAAGACATGGACCTCCTTGCCGGGACCAGCGCAGAGCGTGAAGAGGCACTGCGCCTGGATGTCAAATGCTCTTAATCGCGAGCGAACCTAGAATAAAGATTTTTCCCTGTGGTATGATCGGTGGCAATGCAGCCCAGACGCATATGCCGACTTGTCCTGCGAAAGGGAAGGTAAAAGCAGGGGCCCAGCTGGCCATTCATCCATGAACTGGGGTCCTCTTGCAGCGTAACTACAGAACTGGCAAAACATACCAAGACACGACCCAGAAACCCGGCTGCTCTTCTGCTCTCTTATTGCAATAAAGCCCGCCGTTGGTGGGAAGACCCTGAGAAGCTGCCTCGTAGCCGGCAAGGAGCTTGTTGAGACCTTCATGGCCCAGCTTCTCCAAGAACCACTTGATGTAGGGACCTAGCCAACAACAGAGTTCCTTACTCCAAAGGAGGCAGAGGGAGGCTGGGCCTGGCAGGCCCTTCAGTGCATGGTAGCACAACGAGGTGTCCTCACACATCACCGGCCCCTTCACGTGCTCCTTGGAAGCGTTCCGGCATGTTCTGGCTCTGCCGTAGAAGGCAACAAAGGCTCCAACTGCTGTCGTCTGAACTACCAAAGGCCATTCACAGGATACCTTGATTCGGGGCCTTGGGTGAATCATTCTATTGGATAATTTCTGCAATGCAGACAAGTGGCCGCAGCCAGACGGCACTTCTGCACGGCAATCTCCTTTAGCAAGCATGGCTCTGCCCAGCCTAACGATGCTGTGCAGCCTGCGCAGCTGTGCACCTGCCTGCGTGCTTGCGCCCTGCAGCTCAGGCAGGTCGACCTGCCCGGACTTCAAGAGTGTGAGACAAAAGGCCCAAATCAGACTTTGGCCAGGGGTTTGGGCCTTTTGCGACGTGACTTCGAAGGGAAGCTCCTCCTCTCCCGAAGCGAGGATGTGCTTCACCTCATTGGCATCATGATCGTCAGCGATTCGCACAGCTGTCACTGAAAGTCAGCAACGCCAACGACAATGACGGCGACGATGAAAATGACGATGACGACCGAGGAGGATGGTGATGACGACAATGCCGATGCTGCTGCTGCTGCTGCTGATGATGATGATGGCTGATTCAAGGAGGCGAGAGCCAGAAACGCAAGGTTATGTACTAAAGAGGAGCAGGAACAGCTGTCTAGAGCCTGGCCAAGCCTTTTGCAGGAAGACCAACACTCATTACACTCGTAGGTTATTTAGGGATGAAGCATACTGAATGTCTCGGCATCAAAAAGGGGAAATGAAGAGCTGACGCAGAGCCTCCTCGAGCTTCTTGGCATTCCCTGTCACGAAGACAAGGGCTTGCGGCATCGCACGTTTGGACATCGCCCTGCGAAGAGCTTCCACGACAACGGGGGGAATGGAAGGTGGGGACTGAGGAGTGCGGAAAAGTTGAGGGAAGGGGTCATCAGTGTCAAATCGGAGGTGCTCCTCAAAGCGTCCCTTTGATGCTGCTGAGCTGTTTACCTAGGAAATGTACACGACTCATAACTTCCAAGCTGTGAGCCCATGGCCGGGAAGCGCAGAGGATTCCAAAGTGGCTGAAACAAAAGAATCTCCAGAGAGATGAACAAACTGTCTCCTCGGCCTCGAGACGGAGGCGAAACAGGCGAAAGCCGGAAGGCTTAGACCAACTACGAGCACCGCATGTGCCGAAGTCAAGCGCCGGCCCCGAAGCATCCCTTGGGCCAAGCTGAATGTTTGACACAGTCACGGCAACCTAAAAGCCATCTATCACGCAGCTCCCTCAGAAAGTCTCGTTTGGGCACAAATTGACAGAATTCGTTGCATGTTGAACAAAAGCATCTGCCTGCCACTGCTCACATTTTGCTCCTGAGCAGGCGGTTGGCTGGCCAAAAGGCTTCATCCAACTGTTACTGGTGCCTGGTTGTGTATGCAATGATGATAAGATTAACGGGATCAGTTTGGAGAAGCCTGCTAGCCGGCATGCGTTAACGGGCTCATCTCAGCAGATGGGAGGAGGCACAGCGCTCATTGCGCCGAAGCCTCGGGATTCGAGTCCCACACGGCCCACACAATCCCACACCAGAGAAGCTGAGCTGGGCCAAGCTGGTTCTGAGAAGAAAGCCGGTCCTCTCTCTGCGGTCAGGCCTCGTGGACCGAGGTGCGAGTAAAATGAGTAAAACTCCTTCGATCTTTCTGAAGTGCTCAGGGCGCGGCTCCCGGGACCGAGACCGCGAGGAGCTTGAGGAGCTTGAGGAGCGACGGTCCTTGCCAGGCCCGAAGCTTTGGGGACCGAGACTTCGCAAAAAGGCTGCAGCACTGCTGCAGCTCAGCCAGCTCAGCCAGTCCTCGTCTTGGAGATCCTCGTAAAACTCCTCCACTTTGGCCAGGAGCTGAGGTGTTGGAACCTCCCAGGCACTATTCTGCTTAGCTGCTCAGCTACTACCACCGATACCATAGTGACTGTGGCTACATACAGATCCATTCTGGCCACACTACTCTGGGCTGGCAATGCAATCTTAACGCTTCGGGCCTGGAGCGAAACAAACTGCATCACTGGTTTTAACTATTTAGCTTCTCAAGGAGATCTGGATAGAAAGAGAAGCAGTCGAGCAAACTCAACCATTGCATGTCTCTATGGAGCTGGCGCAGCATCTTGGAGGAAGAGAATGGCTACACAGAAGCCCGAACGTTTCAACCAAGCAGCTGCCACTGCTGGGGACAGGTAATTGCTGCGGCTAATAGAAGAAACTGACTTGAAGAAGTTTGCTAAGCTGCCCTTCGATTAGTTTTTGCCTCAGTTCGATGTTTGCGGCATGCCGGTATTGAGCTCTGCCACGATCTGCTTCGTTTCTAACGCGAACCCAACATGGAGGCAGAATTCCATCAAGAACCATGCGGAAAGGGCACATGCTGCGGAAAGCTCGGACAACTAGCCTCTGCAACCATTTTGAGAACCGCGGCAAGTTGGATGCTCTGTGAATATCGTTTGGGTTGTAAGTTACAGTAATGGAAGTAAAGGGAAACGACAGACCCAAAGGCTGACTAGAGTCTAGAGGGATTAGAGACTAAGGCCAAACAATGCATGCTGGCCATACCAATCTTCTGCAGGAATCTTCCACGTGCTGCGTGCGATAAACGTTGCTGAAGCATGTCGAACGTCAACCACGCGACGAACTTTTGTGGTTGCCTCTTCCTCGGAAAAGATTCTAGCGCTACATGGAATCCAGGAAACCAGGTGATGCTTGGCATGGCACGCCAAGCTCACGAATTCTATGAACTGCTCCAGGATCTGGAGTACATTGTGTCCATGACGCCAGCCCGGTCAGTCGTGTGTCCAAGAGATTTGGAGAAGGCTGGAACGTGAGCCCGCGGTCAGTGCGGCAATGGGAGCCGAGCTGTGACGTCAAAGCTGTGGTGCAAAAACCATGGCAACCGCAGCTCTCCAATCCTTTGTTGAATACACAAAATCTGCCTGGTGGCAGTTTGTATTAGTTTCTGTAATTGTTAAATGAAGACACGAGGATCACACAGTTCGAACACGTCATAGAGACACCAGGAAGGCGAATATGTCAAAGCAAGCCCGTGGAGGCTGAAGAGCAATGAAGTTCACAACTCCGGCAAAATCAGCTAAGCCCTCTTCGCAGCTTATTCTCCATCCTGCACCCCGTCGCATTCCCATTCGGCACGAAGGTTTTTCCCTTTTCAACATTCCAGTCGAGAATTTAAACCACTTCGTTGCCCTGAAATGGCCAGACTGCTTGTTGGGCCTGGAAAATCTACTGCAGTACTAGCGCACGGTCTTGAAGCTTTCAGCCCAGCACTGCAAAGATAGATGGATTTGGCTGGCGAATTTCTGCATATTTCAGCCCCAAGGTTCTCAACTCCAATGTACCAGCTGAAGCCATTTCACTCCACGCCTCCATTGGTGGCAGTGTCTGTGGCGTCATGGCCTCTGCAAGAGCATCTAAACCATTCCCCTTCTGAAGAATGCAGCGCAGCAGTGCCCACAGAGATGTTCGGCTTTCCTTCCCGTGTGGGACAAGAGGTCCCGGCGGGATCCAGCGGCTTGTACCTGCAGAGAAAGAAAGAGTTCCGTCATCAAGCTCTCTCCCCATCTTCGAAGAGGAATGGGTTCTGTTTTGGGTACAAAACAGTCACCTTTCTCCTATCTTAACCGCAGGCCTCACATGCCTGCCAGGAGTGGCGACACTGGCCTTAGCACATAGGATATCATAGGATTGGTGTTTTGGGAAGGGACCCAAACCTTTGGGCACCCGGCAATCATCGAAGCAAGGACCCCCACTGGCACCGTTTCTGGCCTGGAACTCCAAGCCAAAGTCGACTCCGAACATCTCAGCGCTGAGCTCTGCGGCGTCTGGATGCCCGTCTGCTGCAGCCCAGCCAAAGCCTGACAGGAAAATCGATCAGCAAAGCTCCTTTCAGTCTTCGCTTCTTGGCCTGTTTCTGGTAACCATGAAGCATGGGCCTCAGGCTGCACAGGATGATACAGCAAGAGCCCAGAGATGTGCAAGGCACGCACACTGGTGGCATCGGGGCCCCCTTAGCAGCAGACACTGCAACTGTCTATACAGAAGGTCAGGCTGTAGGTGAAGCGGGGACGCCACATATGGTGCCAAGCAGGGTGCTCCTGCGGGCCGCGGTGCACCTTGTCACGACACGAACCGTCAGTGTCAGCAAGTGTAGCAAGTCTTCAGGAATGACTCATCACGGTGCACACTGTCCAAGAGCTACTGGTCAGCACCTGCCATTGGCGGCATCGTTTGAGACGGCCCGGGCACACCCGGCCTCCAAGACTTGGGGAGAACAGACTGGAGAACTATTGGATTGCAGACGGGCGGGGGGTTGGGGCTCGCAACTCCACAGCAAGGATGCAGCTCCATTTCAAGCAAGCAAAGCGGCTTGCATTACGGACCTTGCCCCAACTTTGACTTTTCCAGCTAGATCAAAATATACCCCTTTGTATTGTTTTGCACTGCACCAGACAGCTTGGCATTCGGCCGCATCGCCGCTGCGGTCACCTCGCAGCCGGCATGGCCACAGTTGAAAATGGATGTGGAGCTACCTCTCTCAGATGCTTACAGTCTTACAGGAGCAAGCACCGTGACGCACGTGAGCCGTTTTTGGGTTGCGAAGACGAAAACAAAACCGTACGGCTCACGCGAGTGGACGGAAAGATCCTTTGTAGTTCATGGTCTTCCCTCCTTACCAATATCCCCATTATCCGCCAGAAGCTTACTATTCATCTGAATAGCCAAGTGCCAAAAGGGGTGCCTGCTGGGGCTGCGGTGACAACACCCCTGGCAGCTCTTTCGCCATCCTTGGACAGAAGTGCGGCTTTGATAGACCTTCCGTGCTCTTTGACATGTCCAAAGCACTAAAGCCCAGAGAATGCTTGCCTCTCCTAATCAGGCTCATGCGATCATACGGCAGCAAGGAATTGTATAGCAACCGGAGTTGCAATCGTAACGCCACCGGCTCTCGCGAAGCCGCCACAGCTAAGCTCCCTAAAGGGGGGCATGTCAGAAGCTTATGGAGATCATCTGAATGCTCACCTCCCTCAAACCTGCGAATGCTGGTGTACACTCGCCCCACTCAAACCTTCGGACCCCAAGAATTCCCATGAAGACTACCCTTCTTTTTCTCGAATCTTGGTGGGGCGCCGCGTCTGTTTGGGCGGGTGAGCACAAAGACAGCAAAGGCTTTTGGCTCTAATTGAAAGGAATACCGCCAGCTCTAGCTTTCTTGAGTTGCTGCATTTCTGTTGGAAGTGCTTGCTTGCGACGGCGACGGAGCGGTCAGTGATTGGACCATTCTATCCAAGCTTCGTGATGGCTTTGACCTCTTCGGCCTTGAGGCAGAGGGTCTCTGACAGGCTTTCTCTGAATTGGAAACTTGTGTTGTCGAGTTGTCCTGCCTCTTGAGCCGAGAGGATGCCACGGTCCACCCAGAGCTGGACCAGGCGGAGAACCCTGCAACACTCAGAGGTGTTGAATCACATCTTTCAGCTTTCTTGCCTGGCTCCCCTCTGATTCTACCCTGTAGGCCTCGCGGTCTCCTCCCCTTGGGGCGACTGCGAGGCCTGACATCCAAAGCTACACAGTTTGTGCGAATGCAAATGAGTGCGTGATGGCAAACTCCCACCCATGAAGCTTGAAAACTGCCCTTGCAGGGTGCACCAGTTGGTAACAGGGGCGCAGTATCCACGGCAGGTAGGGCCTCCGTGGATCAGCAAAATCTCATGCAGACCCCCTTTACTCCGCCCAAGAGCCCTGCTTGAATGCCCGAACCAGCGGTGCGTGCGGATCCTTTGCAGGCTTGCACGACGACCATACCCCATCAACACCCCTGTGACAAAGAGCGGCTCCTTGCGGGCAGCCTCTGTCTGCAGCAGGTCGTGGACCAGGTAAAGCACATGAAGCCTTCGACTAGACTCTAGACTCCAACGGGGCGCAACAACTTTCTACAACTTCGCCGCATCTCGCCGCCTGTGCGCACACGTCACCAGAAAGGACACGCGCCGCATGATGTGGCTGGCAATGTGCGGTGCAAGGGCCTATGCCATAGCTGTGGTTGATTGGGCAAGCATGCTACGGGTGTGCTGCAAAGGCCATAGCACTGTTGCACTCTATCCATAGCCGACCGCTCTTGATTGCGTCTCTCGACGCCATGTGCCTCAGCAAGGGTCGACCAGATTTTTTGGCTGGGCAGAACCAACCTTCCCTTCGAGAAAAGAAAACATGCCATGCAGACTCAAGGGAGGCAATGACGCCATGCAGCTGCCGTTCCACCTCGAGACTCCCCAGAAGAGACAGAACGTGTTTACCTTTCAGACAAAGCCTCGGGAGTCAGCGCCAGGACCTGCGGCTCCTTCCAGCGCCGCAGCACGTCCTCGCACGAAAGCGCTGCCAAACAGGGGCAGTGCCACGGTAGCCGAGGGCCCTGCGGCCAGTTCGACCGGTGGTGCTCCTTGGACCTGGCAAGAGGCTTCGAAAAGAAAGAAGCCTATGTGGGATATTCTTGGATGCAAAAGCGCACCCCGGCCTGCCCTCCCCGCAGCAGCGTCGCCAGGCTGGCAGCTGGCGGCGAGGCCAACGGCATGGCCATGTTGGCCATTGCTGTCATGGCCATCGGGGCAGTCATGCCTGAAAATTGCCCTGCAGGTGCAGGCGCGGGCATCACAGGCGCGGGCATCACAGGCGCGGGCACCACAGGCGTGGGCGAGGGCGCTGGTGGTCTGAGTGGGGCCACTGGTGGCGCCTGAACCCAGTTGAGGGTGCGAATTCATTGAAAATGTAGCTGTTGATGGCTGGTATGTTGCGCGCTCACCTGGCCTGCGTTCCTCGGTGCTTAGCAAGGACCTTCCATTGGACAGGCTTGCAACCTCCGCCCCTCTTCCACAATTCCACTACTGCCTGCTGGTAGTACTCAGCGCCCTCACCATTGTACAGAAAGGCGAACCTGGCCCATCGCAGCATGTGCACCTCATGCCAACATCAAGACCACTTACACAAATGAGGCGAGTCGCTGCGGATTGCTAGCGTTCTTCTGCTTCACCGTCGTTTCGAACTCCGCGCCATTCCTACGGGGCAGCCAGAGGCTTGGCTAATGGAAAGTTTCACACACTTCCCTCTAGAACGATCCTAAGCCGTTGGCAAGCAGAAGACTTTCGAAGCTTTTCCTGGCCTGGCAATGTGGTCCGCCATGATCTCGATCCGCTTCCTGAATAAGTTTCAACATGCCATGTGGCACCCGGCGTTTTTGCCGACACCTCAGATCTGGCGCCAGGCCATTGCCCGGGTCCGCCATGGCGGAAAGCATCGAATGCGAAGCTGTGACAAAGCTTTGCTAAGCCTAAGCCTTCCGTTTGCTGGAAAAGGAAAAAGAGATTCGGTAATATTTTTGGGGTATCATTTTTTGGGGCTTTCGGAATGAGCTCTTCTGAGGGTTTGGGGGTTGGGCTGGGCTGGGCCCCAAGCTGGCTTGCCTTCTCCAATCTTCTCCACAACTTGCAATCTGTTGCCGCTTTTGCCCCAGAGTGTTGCCCTCAGGGTGCTCCAGAATAAAAGCTAGCTGCGCGTGCTGAGCACGATGCCCGAGCCCAAAAGAAAGCGACGCACCTTTTGCCAACATGCGGCGATGAGTTTCGAACTCAGATATCAGGATGCAGCGGATGCCAGATGTCCTGCAAACTGAGCTGCCGCTCCATTCTTTTCAGAGCAAACGCTGATAGTTCAGGTCAAGGCAATTGAGGTATGGCACGACGCTTTGCGTGTGCCCTGTTGCGAACCAGTACCAAGTCAACGAAAACATGCACAACAAGATGTCCCTGCTCTCCACAACCTTTTTAAGGTCACATCAGGACAGGGCCAGTACAAGAGGCAGCTGTGACAGAAATGTGCCCATCCCAAAGAGGGGGTGCCTAATTCTTTGCTGTGGCATTTGCTAGCACTTCGAAGGCTCCCAGGGGCCTCGGCGAACTCACTGCATCTACAATGAGACGCACCGCAATGGAAGAGAAGGCTGTCAGGAAGTAGGCAAGGACACCTTTCTGAAATGTGGGGTTGAGAGGCATGTAAAGAAGCCTGGTCTGATAATCTCCACCGCTTGACATCCTGTGGATCATCTCATCAATCAGCCGTCGCTGATGCTCCAAGTCAGGCCGCGCACCGTAAGCATAGGTGGACTCCTTCAGCCGACGCAAGGTGGAAACATGCTGGAGCTGGGCGTAATGCACACGTAGGGCCTGGTAGACACACAGGAACATACAGCCACACATGATCACCAGAACATAACCTGCCATCACGTTGGGAGCGTTGTTGAAGATAGCAACCTGCACGGTCGAGTCCGTGAGCAACCAAAAGGACACCACCAAGTAGGCAAGAACTACATTCTCATATCTGTCCAGGATGTTTTTCACGTCGTTGTGGAGGATTGAGTCTCGAGCAAGCTTCCATACCTTGACTGCTCCTAAAGATCCTCATGCGAGAAGTTATCTTATCTGCTTCCAGGAATGGACTTGAATACATTATCTGAAAAGACCGCGGACATGCAGGTGGGAGGTTGACATGTGATCTGCCCGGGCCCACCAGGACAGGATGGCATCCAAAATCCTTTTCTGTCAACAACAGTGCGATGGAAAAAGCGCAAGTAAACACGTAGGCTGCTTCCTGCAGAATTGCAGCATCCCATATCCAAAGCCCTGAGAATCTGCAAGAAACGGTAGGGAAACTCGGAAAGGATACTCTTGACCAAAGTAAGGATCTGCATGGGATGGGTAGCTTGCTGTAGGCCTGCCACCGTCTTGGCCACGGTGATTGCCAGCAAACTAGACAGAAGTGCAAGTATGAGTGCCTTCAAGGCTGCAGATGTGATGACTGCCAACTCGTTGCTCTGCACGTCCAACCTGCTGGACAACAACCATGTTACGCCCTAGTCGCTTGGAGGCTCCTATGCCTGTTACCAGCATGTGACTAACAAAGTAACTACCAGGGAAAAACGAAGAATACATCGGGCTTTGGGGATCTAGGTTTTGTCCAAAGCCGCGCATGTCGCCATGCGAGACCCACAGTGTCGTTCGAGACATGAGGAGGTAATCGGTAGCATCACACCATGGGCTGGCAGCTGATGTTGTGTTTGTCTCCTGGCACCGAACATCCACAAAAGCGATCCGGTCCACCCAGTAATAAACCCACGCGTAGGAATCGCCCTGAGGCGCCATGAAAGAGAACAAGTAGAACCCGAGCAGTCCCAGAAAGGAGCCGAGAACCACATGTCCACGACAACCACAATCCCGGCTGTGTCGTTCATCAACAGTGCCTGTGGAACTTCGGACAATCTTCTTCTTCGAGTAGCCCTGGAGATAGTTGCAAAAGTCATACTCCTTCATGATGTCGACACTTTCTGTCAAAGTGGTCCACTTGTTTGCTGATTCCTTGTATTGGTCATAGCGCTTGACGTTGGACTCCCATGCATTCGAGTTCGGACACCCAGACATCCGCAGCCTCAAGTTTGCTTGCTCACGCATGAGCGCGTCTGGCGCGCAAAGCTCCAGGACTTGTATGGTTTCCTTACTTATCATTGCAGCAGCTTCAGCCATAACTTGTGCTGCGGCTTTCCAACAATTCCAAGCTTCGGAATGTGAGGTCTCTTCCTTTGCAAGGATGTGCTCAAACTCCAAGGCTCCAAAGATCTTGGTCAGACTCTTTTCAAAGTTGTCCGCCAAGTCCAAAGAAGAACCATCTATCTCCTTTAGCTCAAGTCCGAACTAGTTGCACTGACTATCGTTTCATCAGGCGACTGCCACCGAAGCTACCTGCATAATAGGTATCACGATTTTCCTGAGTTTCACAACAAGGGGCCATTTGATGTTCTTCAAGCTCTTGCGAACCATGCAAAACCTTTCCTGTGAGCCGAGCGTAGCTGTGCCCAACGGCACGAATCTAAGCAAGTAAGTGTCCAGCACAAAATCACACTCAAAAGCATCATGCTGATCATGATTGTTGTGGTGGAGGACGTGGATCATTACCACCACTATCACTATCATTCGACAAGCGATCCCCTGCACAGATTCATCCGGCTTTCTCCTCCTCATCTTGACGGCCAAGCACAAAGGCCATCCCCTGGAGAGGTGCCAGCATGAATTCAGTCAAAGTAGAATTCTGATCCTCAGCTGCTTTTTGCAATTCCCGTCGTAGCCTTGGGTACCGGATTGAAGCTGTACAGCAAGCGAAGCAGGAAAACTTCCGAAGCAGGAAACCAGAGTCCAGCTGCTGTTCACGGCTCCTGGGCTAAGCTCAAGGGATTGGCAAGCCTTGTGGTGGAAATTGTGGATGAACTCTTGGAATTGTCAGTCTAGCAGTCTTGCACCAGAGTTCAGTAGCACTGAAACAAGATGAATCGCTGATCACCCTGACTCTACCAGCTCTTGGACGTTCATCAGGGAATAGCCCTATTGAGTAGTAGTTATTTGGGGATACTATGGCACCCAACATAGAGTAAGATCATGTCCTCCTTTTGGGTATAGTGAAAACTCAGAGTTGTTGAGTCCTATCTGTTCAGACTCCAGCAAAGAATTTTCAGTTCTGGCATGTTCAGGCCCTGTAGATAATATGCATAAACATGCAAAACAAGAGTCTCATGCATCTGCTTCCGCACAAGGGCTTTTAGCTTCACAGCGGCAGCCAAAATGAGATTCACTTCCTGTACGAGCGGTTCCTGTTGCCGACATTTCTGGCGACGTGATCGTGGTGGTTTCTTGCCAATCTTGTCTGCATCAGGAGTCTCCTCACCCAGGGGCATCGAAAAGACTGACAAGCATGTAAACATCGCAAACCGTGCAGGCGTCATCCTTGCCCTACGCGGTCCTCGTCTGTCAAACGAATAGTCCCTTGATCCATTAGCGCAGCAGAGAAGCACAAGAAAACACCAACCAAAACCACAGTCCAGCTGGGCTCTAGGAGGCCTCCTGGTTGGCAGACATGCCCATGGCCGCTCCAATCACCGTAACGGACACAAGCATTCAAAATGCTCTCGCCCTCCGGAGTTGCTGCCAGCCGTGCGCAAATCGAATTGAGGAAGCCAAGAGTCATGATGACAAACCAAGTCATCAGATGCCTATCTGTGTAACCAGCTCGAGTGCAATCCAAAAAGTAGCACATCGAGGAATAATCTTTTCCGCCTGATTCTGTCGACACCTGCGTGCCCTGCTTCTTTTTGATGCTGAGCCCTCGATACGAGGTTACCAGGCAGGTCACGATGAAGAGCGCATACCACCCAACACTCCAGTACCACGGGCTGAAGCCTGCAATAGCAGGGCAGTACCTCCGCCCGGTGAATACATCGGTTGCAACCTTACCCCAGACGCAAACAGGCTGGCCGGTGCTATCCAAAACCGCAGCTGTCTCGTGGCAAAGAACAATCGAGTCGGAAATGAAGGCCAAGAGGACACATGGAAAAAAGTAGACTGTACGAAAATTCTTTCGTGCTTCATACCGCAATGAAACGAAGTCGTCCCCGGGCAGCTTGTGGTCTTGTAAACAAGACACCGCACCTGGCCCCAATCTGGGCCAAACATTTGGATTCATTTTCTTCTCCTCATGAATCTCCTCCGTCTTCCTCTTCACTTTCACCGACAGCTTGGCCTTGTGCTCGGAGTCACGGAGTTCACGGAGTTCGCGAGGCTCGGTAGATGGCTGAGGCGGGCTGTCATGCACCTGACCTGCGCGCTCTTAAAAGGCTCTGAAAAGTTTTAGGCAGCTTGTGAAGCAGGATGCACGTTTGGGAAGCTGGACAGCGGTCTGGCCTGGAAGCGGCTCCATGTAGAGCCACCGAACCACACACCTTCTGATTTTGAAAATCTGTGCTTGAATCCTTGAGCCGGAGGCCAAGCGAATTTAGTGAGGCCAAAGCTCTACAAAGCCACATCGGCGATGAGAGGGACATGTACTGTGCAGAAAGATGCTACGTCACGTCTCAGCGAAATTAAGCCGATGCCCCATGTCCCTGAACCGAGCTCACTTTGTCGTTTTCGCTGGTGCTCCTCAGAAGCGGCCAGGAACCTCAACTCCGCATCTGTCTGGTGAAGCCGCGCAGCACTACATTGGTCACTCAGCAAGCCAGCAAGCCAACGGCCTCGCGATTGAGAGGGAAAAGGGGGATCAGGGCGCAGAAAAACTGCTGCACGGCTTTTCTCGGATGCAGCTTCAGCAGCTTCAAGGCTGAGAGGCGCTGAGAGGTCCCTTTTGTATGTCTCCTGTTTGATCTCATCTTTTTTGGGACTGCAGTGACTGCATCTTGCTGTTGGAAGCATTCTTTGTTGTACCTCTGTGGCTTGTTGGGGCATCCATTTGCAAGGATGCAGTCCCTGCGTAATCATTGCAGTGCTGCCTACATTGGAAGTCCGAAACTGTTGGGTAATCTGCGCGAAGACCATACATAGCTGTCATGTTGAACATGCCGGTACGATTCCACCCCAAGATTGCCCAACTCTTGAATTCAACCGTTCTGTCAGGCTTCAAATGATTGAAAGAGGGCCTGGTGCTGACGAGGGCCACAGTATATTTACAGCAACTTCAGCATTCCTCGTCTGCCCGGGTATGCCAGTCAGGTAATTACTAACTCTTCTTAAATCAAGTGCCTTCAAGCTTTCCTATCTCCTGCCTGGCATGTGCGGCTGCACCGCTGGAGAGTAAAAGCTCTGTCACAGACCCCTCCTTCAGGTTGCGGGAACCGGAAACGCTTCAAAGTTTTCACTATCTGTCATCTGTGCAAACACTCAAAGATGCAAGCAGCATGTACTTCACCTCTGCCATGGCGCAGGTGCGAATTCCCATGCCAATTGGGCGCAAGCACCACTTGCCATTGTCTTCGGAAGGCACAGCCCCCCGTGCTTGTGCACGGGGATGCACACCTCATTCTCTAGGTGCTCACAGGGCATCTCTATTTATGCAGCTGCTGGCGTCGGCGGGAGCTCGTGCTCAGGAGCCATGGAGGTGCGATGCAAGCCTTCGGTTCTGGGATGTGCCCATATGCGGGCGATGACTGTGTCGTTGATGGCAAAGACTCTAAACGTCCGCCAGGCTCGTCTGCAGTGCTACCAGCGTCGGAGTCACACATGTCCTCCCAACTTTCTTGCACCTGGGAATCCAGGGCACATCTACCGTGAAAGCTCCAGGACACGGCAAACTTTCCACATTCAGAGGCGAAAAAAAAAAGGCCAAGCCGCCGTCCAGTCAGTTGCCTTTGGAAGCTGAGCCGCTTCAATGCATGGCTCTTCAATAACTTCCCAGATGACATGCCCAGCACCTCGGCAAGGCAGAGGCTCAGAGGCTCAGAGGCTCACGGGTGCATTAAGGCTTCTCTGTGGCAGGGGCCATCCTGGAGGACGTCGAAGTGATCCAGGAGCTCCACCACCGAGGGCGGAGGCTCCCAATCCTTACATGAACGAAACGGCCTATCCCCTCCGGGCATCTCCAAAACAGACTTCAAAAGCAAGGCTTGACTACAGGCCTTCTCACACCATACAAGCTGAGAGGGCGGTGAGAGCTGAAACGCACGGGAGGAGAGAGAGAGAGAGAGCCCTAGCCGGGAGCCGGGCTTCGCTAGCGCCGGCGTCGGGTTCGACTTCAGGCTCGGCCTGCGGAATGAGGGGAGCCTCGCGATCCTCGTGGAGGGGAGCCTCCGCCTCGGCCTCGGAGGCCTGCAGTGGCTTCTTGCGCTGCCGCTGCGCAGATGCTTGGTGGATCACCGGCTTCTCCTTCTTCTCCTTCTTGGGGCGCTTGCCCTTCTTCTTGGGGCAAAGCTCCTCCCAAGAGTCCACCACACCGATCATCGCTGCACTGCTAAAGCCTCTGAGCCGAAACGCAACTGTCAGAGGCAGTCCCACAAAGCTCAACGCGGCACGAGAATATGGGAGCTGGCTGCAGCAAGAAGTAACAAGTGGCAATGCAGGGAGCTGCTGCCACCCAAGCCCGCCTTGAAGACATGGTGATTTGCATGGACCCCATAGTGCCGCTCGAAGAAGATCTTGGAAGGCCGCGGCCTCCACTGTCTGCTCTTGCTTTTGCCGATCGCAAGTCTGACGGCTGCTTGCTGTGCCAGCGTGCTCTTCCTCACGAGGGCTGTCCGTCGTGCCACGGCGGGATTGAGAAGGTGGTTGGGTTTTATTTACCAATTTTTTACAAGGCTGCTACTCGGGGTGTTACCAGATTCCTGCAGTCCACAGAGTCCGCAAGCCTCAATGATGGATAGAATCTAGTTTAGCGGATGAGCGCTTGCAGGGTTCCTGTAATTTTGCCAAACCGGCTAGGACTGGCCAACGCCACACTTTCATGGCAACAGCCTGCAAGAGCCCTTTCAACCTAAATCTGGGCGAAATGCCATGTCTGAAGAAGAAGCAGGGTAGAAGTAGCAGCAGCGCGCTGCACACAATACGGCGTGTGGCCTTGTCAGGTATGTTTGTGAGGCTGGCATGCGGTGCTTCAAGCCTACCAACTGTTGCGCGGATGCAGCTGCCTTGTGGAGATCAAGATATAGCAATCCCAATCGTGAGCCTTGTTTCCGACGGAATACATGAGCGATTAATTATGATATTGCAGCAAGCCGAGTTTGCTGTCATAAATGAGCTTTTACTACGTTTTACCAGTAGCTGTTCGGGGGCCTCTTCTCACAAGCTTAACGCATTTCAATTCAATGCGGATGGGTTTTTGTTAGACTTAAGGTGTACGCTGCAAAAATGTTGATACCATCAACCCCCACCCTCAGGGATTGTCGAGCATTACACCAGGCGTGGACCGCAGCAGCAGTTACCCATGTTTGCCAGGTGCGAGAGCGGTCCAACACAGTCTTGCTGCTACCGTGTCCATGCTAGTTTGGGGCAGGGTCTGTGCTGCAGTGCTCTATGCTGCTGCGGTGCTCTATGCTGCTGTGGTGCTCTATGCTGCTGAAGTGCCATCTAATCGACTCAAGCTGGTGCTGAAGGGCCATAGTAAACGGACGCGCAAGCATAGGACCAGGCACAGCACCTTCCGAGAAAAAGGTCTTAACGAGTCTGCCTGAAAACGACCTCTCAGAATGAACCCGGAAAATATACCTCCGAAATTAGTAGTTTCTACTGCGCTGGCCATGACTGTTTAGATGCGCAGGTGGGTTCCTGGGGAAGTACCTTGGCAGTGGCCTTTTGTTATGAGCCCGATATCTCGATATCTGCAGCAAGACCTCAACTGACAACCTCTGGATACTTTTCCCATGTCGAAATGCCAAAGCTCACGTCACAGCATCGCTCTTTGGTCTCTTAGTGGAAAAATCGTGGATGTGGTGAAACGATCACTTTGTGACGAGCTGACGAGGAGGAGTTGCACAGCAATCGGAACCGGAACAAAACTTGACTGTAGTGGCATGTTGGAGTGGAGCAGGGCAGCGTGTTCAAAAGAAGTCTCCTCTAGAAAGGCCTTGTCAGGAGCTTTCTCTTTCTGAGCTATTCTTCGCATCATAACCAGAAAGTCGCAGTTCGTGGCCTCGAATCATTTGACTCGCGCTGCAGACATGACAACCGCCCCCAGCTGCTGCCAGTTTCTGGACATTCCTGTTGCAAGGGTAGCTGCCATGCTCTGCACCACGGGCACACATGCTGCACATGCTACCTCTCAGGTCGACTAGTCGAGAAAGCCTTGGATGATGAGCAAGTATCACAGCCATATACAGCCATCACAAACGGCCCGTCACTCGCGACCCGAAGGCTCTTCTCACACTACGACATACCGAGCTCGCCATGCTCACGAGCTTCCATGGTCCTTTCACCAGGAGCTCTTTGCCGGCTGGTGAAGTAAAGTC